TTAAAATTTTATTATAAAAATTAATTTTTAAAAAAAAGATGCAAACAAATTTGTATGCAATACAATTTAAGAGATAATAAGACCATCAAATACAGTAAACTAAAAAACTGAAGAGTTAAAGTTTATTTAGAAATTTCCAAGTAAAAAAATAGCATGAACTTTTGATAAAATAGTCAGACTAATAGAAGTCTATGAAATACTCTCAAAAAGATAGGCAGATAAACTGAATAACAAGATATATAAAAGAGCATATAACCAACCAGACTACCAGAATTGCTAAAAAAAAAGATACATATATATATTATATTAGACTATCTGAATTAGAAGTTAGAAAAGTTCTGTTAGTTCTAAATAGTGATTAATAAAAGATGAAGAAAAAAACATCATAATGATAGGTACTTAGGTTCTAATAAACTTTACAAGAATAGAAATAATATAATATAGTAGTTAAATAGGTAATCTTTGTAACTGCAAGTATTAGATAACTATAATGTATTGTATAAAACTAAGTTAGCTGTATATAGAACACAGAAGTTTCTAGTAAGTTTCCTATTAAGGATAAAGTAATCCTAAGGGTCTTAAAGGTATTAGATACTTTAGATGGGTGTAGTTTAAAAGATGTCTTTGTGATCACAAGTTGGACTATATATGTAGAAGGTTTAAATAGACAAGATCTATAGTTGGTTTGTAAGTATGATATTTAGTATAAAACTTGTATAATAATGTATAGATAAACTACTTAAATTAGATATCAAAAGTGCATATATGACTAGTTATAACTTCTTATATATGAATGTTTCTAAAGGTATCTGTATCTAAATACTTGAATAAAACAATAATCCTTAAAACCAGAGACTAACTTAAATAAAAATAAAAAAAAATAAAAAAATAATATAGATATTAAAACTTTACAAATATCTTTATTTTTTTTAAAATCAATGTTATTAGTAGCTATCACCTTTATTTGTGTTTTTAGTTAATGCATTACATATAACTTGTATAAAATAAGTGTGCAACTAGTCACATATTTATCTTTTAGTTACCTATTTAAGTAGTCTATCTGAGGGTTCTACACTAGCTGCCATACCTGTAATCTACTAAAAGGATATCTATTTAAACACTTTGATTCTTATATTGTATTCAGATAAATAACATCTGATTTTTATATAACTAAGACTATCTAATCCAATATTTAACCTTTTCTTTTGTATGTTTGTTAAGCCATTATATATTTCAAAACATATTATCTAATTGTAAGATTCTGAAATGCTTTTTGTTAATTATTTATCTATTCTATTAAACATTAACAAGGCTAACTCTTGTAAAGTTTATTTGAACTTTAACATTTACTTTATAGCATATTCTTAGTACTTATAGTATACTTCTGTTTTGACTTCAAATTCTTAATTCAGATAATACAATAAAACTGTAATCTGTTTTTAATATATTGAATCAACCTAATATTCTTTTTCTTTTATTCAATTCTGATAGTTTGATTGGTGATACCTTTTATCTTGAAGTTCTTGTCTATCTGATTTCTTCACATTAATATCTGTTTCTTAGATTAGTCTTTACAGTGATATCATTAAAGATTTGTATTATCTTTTTATACAGGTTTTCTTGAATAGACTTGGTTTTTCTTAGTTTTATAAATTTATACAATCACAAGAACTTATCTTAGTTTTGCACTATTCAGTACTAGTTTGCATTCTTTTATATAACTAAGATTACACAAATGTCCTATAACCTGCTAGTCATGCTAGTGTAATCATAATTACAGATACCTTATCTCAATTGATTGACAGAAAAGCTGTTGCTATAATACATAAGTATTATATAAATGATCATCTAAATTTTTGCTATTAATAAGTTTTGAACTCACAACTTATCATTTAAGAAATTGACAACTTATTCACTTTACTAAATCACCACATTCCCAATATTACAAATATAAAGATACAGATTTAATCTATATACTATTTAAATTTTATAAATTTTGATTGTATTATTAAAAAATTTTATTCGTATCTTATTTTTGTTTTTAATATTTTTAATATAAAACTTTTTTTGTATATGAAAAATAAGCTAAATGCTAAGAAAAGGAATGAAGTTGGCACTTTTTTCAAAAGCTGTTTTTTTATATAAATCAATTTAAAATAAGATTAAGATTATAGATGCTAGTAAAATTGATAAAACTGGTAACTATCTAAAATCTAATTGACTGCTATAATAAATTTCACCAATTTCACCAGTTTCACCATCATTCACCAAGATTCACCAGTTTCACTAGCATCTATAATTAAGATCATTTTCACTTAAGACTCAAAAGTAGTTGTGTTAATAAAATTTTGTAATATAGCTCCTTAAAGTTTGCATTTTCCTATGATTTATTATAAGATTTACAACATAAAAATTGATTTTCCGAAGATTTTTTTTTTGTCAATTTCGTCCCTTTTCTCAGCACTTAGCCCAAATAATCTACATGTACTCTACTCTTAAATAATTTGACTACGGTAATTAGTATTTATGTAGAGTCATGATATCCCCTAACCAAAAAAAGCATACGTAACAATTTTTATATTGAGGATAGCGATGTTACCTAAACTATTTGGGACGTCTCCAAATTATGTGATGAATAATATCGCGTGAGGTATTTAACTCCTTATTGTTATTGCTGAAATCCGTGTTGCTTATTCATCACATTGTTTGCATAGATTGGGATAGTTTGGGTAACATCAATCATACCTTATATAATATCCGAAGCTAAAATTAATGTTCTATATTTACATATAAAGTTTATTAGTTGTGTTTGACATAATATTTTCAATGTTTATAAGAATAATTAGTGCTGGTTACATACGTAATACGTATAAATAATAAAAATACTGATAATGGTTATCTTTGTACTATGTATTTAAAATTTTTCAAGTTACGCTTGTTTCAGAGTGTTGTGTAAAAAAATCGCATTGGTTGATGGTTAAATAATAGAGAAAATTCGTTGTTAAAAATTTGTATTATTAGTTGTTATTTGCTTGATTTATAGAAAATAAACTTTTATAAATAAAAAACATAATTCTTTTTAAATGACATGAAGCTATGCTTCATCATTCTGGTTCAGGTGCAAATGTTCGAAAAAGCAGGCTTTTATGAGTGTACGAACGTAATAGTTTCTCGGTTATGTGCATATTGAATTGTGTTTTAAGCAATGATAATTAACATTTCTCCGGGATTTTTAAGTTCATGCATCATTATGATATATAATTTCACATAATTTGTGTCAATTATTTGGCTTAGATTATTTGCTTAGTAAGGTCAAACCATTTAACACCGGAACTCCAAGGTCTCGCAAAAGTCTCGTTCGAAATTACAATTAATTCTCAAACATGATTCTTCATGACCATCTGCATATCATTACAATATGCGAAAATCCAATAATATCGGTAATTGTTTATTTGGTTTAGTACGGACGTACGTACATAAGTTGAAAGTTTAGATATGCGATGTTCTTAAAACTTTGAGTACAGCTTCACGCATAAAATATACAGGGTTCAAAATTAAATTGCTACATATTAATTATACTGATATGCGAATGTCTTTATATGTCAGACAATTGGTGACATCAGATATCGCTACATAAACATTAATGTTTCATATATAAATACACAAATGTTGTACGTAACTATTGCAAGTTATTAGTTTTGTACATTGACTAATTTGCGAATACATAAGCGAAAAGGATTTCAATAATAAAGATAAAGCTATTATCGGAAGCATATAACGTACGTAGACGTACGCACGCACGTATGTACGACGTAGATGGTATGTGACAAAATCAAATATATCAATATCAAATTTGAAAGCTAATTACGTAAACAAATTTATTAATCTTTTATATAATTGGTAATAATTAACATGTGAATAAGAAATTTAAGTAAAATCACATGATATAATAACGCGATATACTAGTGCAATATAATTACGCATGTCATTATAATATTGAATGTAGATACTTTTATTAGTGTAAGTAATCGACTCACTCATCATCTTCAGTTGTTAAACTTTCAACAATGAGATTAGCAGACGGCCAAAGTCCGCTTTCATTTTTAATAGTCTTGAATTTATCTGCCTGATGTACAGTTCGTGGAAATGAAACGAGCAAGAAATCAAAATTATGTTCATAGTCTTTTGGTGGCTGGACATCAGCCGATGAAGATGTTTCATTTCGAATATGATATGTATCAACGAAAATGTAAACCATCTACAATAAAATAAAAATTAAAAAATTATGCTTTGAAAAACATCATTAGAAATTTACGAAATTATTATTATTATTACCTCAACAGTATCATCAGCCCTAAACCTTCTTACTACCCTCTCACCATTTACCAGTCGAAAACTTAAACTTGCAACATCTGTTTCATTTTGATTGGGCTCATTTGGTAACTGTGTTAAAGCCCACCTTCTCCATTTTTCTTTGTTTGCTAATAACAACATGCGCTCTTCTGCTTCTTTTTTTGCACGTTCACTTGCCAATTTTTTTGCATCCTCCAACTCTCGTGCTTTACGTTCCTTTTCTCGATCAGCCTCCAACGATGCAAGATAAGCGTTATCTTGTTGTTCACGAATCTCGCGTGCTGCATCACGTTCAGCACGCTCATTACGAAACCGTTGTAGACCAGGACCGTAACGACTTAACAGAATTGTAAATCGTGCTATAAGTATTTCAGGACTCAATGATCCTTTAATCGTAAAACGATTTTATTACAAGTCATACGTTTATTAAATAGTAAACAATAAACGAGATAGCGAATATATCCACTAATCAATATTAATTTATGATATAAACTTTCAATAAATAAAAAAAATAACAATAACTTTACCTTCAATACGATCCACTACTGTCATTCTTGGACCAGTACCAGTATTCCCATGAGGCGTTGCAAGAACAATCACAGCCACAAATGGGTACGTTGTCGCTTGTAATGTGCTACTTACTATTTATAAATAAAATATTTTTGATTAAAATCCATATATTCTTATGTAAAGTGTGAAAAAATATATATATAAATCTATATATCTTGTATCTGACCTTGAAATGCTTCTGGATCTTTTATATTTCCGGCCCATACTAAAACATTATTTTCTCGAAGAAATGATAACAATAACTCTGAAGTTAATGTCTCACTAAGAAAAAAAAAAAAGGACAAAGAAAAAAAAACACACATACACAAAAAAAATATATATATAATTGTGATGAGTAACGATGATGATATATAAATTTGGAAATTAAAATTAAATTATATTAATTTGTACATGTACCGATTAAATTTTTTTGTATTATCATGTTCGTCAGCTTGCAGTATTATCATAGCAAAACGAAGATCATTTTTTGCTCTTTCTAAGGCCTTAAATCATAATGTTAGTAAAAAAAATATATATATATATAAATAAAATAAAATAAAATAAAAAAGAAAGTGAAAATAGAGAACAATTAAAGAAGAATGATTATAATTTTTTCAAAAAAAAAAACAAAACAAAAAAAAATTAATTGATCATACCTGAGAATAAGAACCTTGAAAAAAGTCCGGATGCGTACGACCATATTTTTGTTCAAATTTTTCTATAAATTGTGCAGTTAATCGCGAATCCCTTATTCGATTGGCTTGGGGATCAGCAATCGCTGGTCGTGGAATAATAAAGTAGAAAAAAGCTTGCAAAATATTCCTGACCAAGCTAACGCAAGCGGTAAGTATGGCCACCAGAACCATTTCTTCGAGTCACCTATAAAAAATTGAAAATTTAAGGCAAACTCATAAAACGTCAAAGTATACTTTGTTCGAGATTTCTAAAACCACAAAGGGGGAAAAACCTTTATGAAATGAGTAATATGAAACGTTTAAATAATAAAGACTCGTAGGCGATAACTCACATAGGTTTAAGGATAAAGTAATGGTATCAGCCGAAAGCGCCGAATGTATTGAAAGAAAATATGCAAGTATAAGTGATCACGATTCGCGTAAACCTGTGGAATTTCACCCTTAACAAAGCAGACTTTCAACAATTCTAATAAGGCCATCCTAATCTTATTAATAAAATGCTTTCTATCACATGTGACTGTTGCATATTTTTCATGCTAAAATATAAGGGTAGTCATTGTGTATAATTGATGATCTGATTTGTTTACCAAAACGGACATGTGCGCGACTGCGAAAGTAGGTTTGTGTATGGTCAACTTTAGTAATTATGCATGAAAATTAGTAGTACAAAATAACAATAAGTTTAAACAACGTATTTAAAATCGATAATGATGATAATAAGATACAATCTATACACTGTCTAATCTAGAGAAGGTTTTAACTTTTCTTCTTTTGCAAGACAACTTAATCATTTTAACTACAAGGTAAGTTTTCTTAAACTCGTTATTAAGTTTTTTTTATGTTTAAATTTATTCACTCATCCTAATATGTTAACATTAGATGGTTATTCCTGACCACACCAAAATTGCTCCTGTATCGTCACTTATTAATAAATTTGAACAAAACCCGGACGAAGCGTCTAGTCAACCAAATTCTCGAGCTCGTAGTCCTAATCCTGGAAAGATAGTTCATGGTTATGAAGGTAAAACAACTGAAGAGACTAGTATTACGACTACGACCGAGAAAAAAACCGAACCAAAAGCAGAACCAATTATCGAAACTGTTCAAACGAGCGAAACTGTTGTTGTAACTGAAACTCTTAATGGTGAAGAAGAAAAAGTTAATGAAGAAAAGAGTCAAGAGACGGAAGTACCTGTTGTTATAGAAGATAAACAAGAATTAAAAGAAGAAAATCAGGAGGAACAACATAATGTAGAAATTACTGTAACGGATAATGATACCAAAGCTGCAACTGCTACTACTGCAACAAACACCGCTTCTGAAAAGAATGTAAAGAAAACTGGTACCACCGCTAAAAAGACTGTCAAACATCCTAGTTCTACCATTCCTACTAAAACTACAACTGCGAAAAAAACATCAACAGTTCATACTTCATCCGATAAAAGTAAATTATCAACTGGTAATAGTTCATCAGCTGTTCGTTCCAAATCTCCTGTAGGAAGAACAACAACCGCTTCGGCTACCAAGACTAAACCATCCACCACTCCAAGTACCAGACAACCAATAAAACCTTCACAAGCTAAAACTCCTGCTACTGAAAAAACTAAACCAACTGTAACGAAAACAGCTACCACAAAACCTATTGTTAAGCCTCCTGCTCCAAAGACTACTCCTGTTACTGTCAATACTACAGCTTCAGAGAAAAAAACATCTGTTACTAAAGTTCCTGGAAAAGTTACAAAGAATACTCCAGCTTCTAAAACGATTAAAAAACCAGCTACAGATAAGAAAGTTCCTCCTGAAAAAAAAGCAGCTTCTAGTAATTTAGAAAAAAAAGATCAGAAAGAAGAGAATAAAAAGGAAGAAGAAACACATACGCATACAGAAGAAACTATTCAATCAGAAGAAACTACTCAATCAGAAGGTGCCACTCAATCAGAGAGTCCTACTCAATCAGATGGTGTTACTCAATCAGATGAAGTTGTCCAATTAGAAGAAACTGATGTTAAATCCGAAAGTTCAAAAGATAATGAGATCGTTGAAGAACATGAATCAAGCGAACCATGTGAAGAAGAAGTTCACGAAAAAGAATCGTCAGAAAAGGAATTCCATGAAAATCAGAATGAAATTTCAGTTACTGTGTCTCATGATGAAATTTCAGTTACTGAGTCTCATGATGAAGTTTTGGTTACCGAGTCGGAAGATAAATCTCACGTTGAAGCTATAGGAGAGACTCATGAAAATGATGTCGAAGTTCCCGAAGAATCTCCTGCTATAGATCATGAAGAGTCGGTAGCTGAAACTGACCAAGTTACTGAATTTCAAACGGAAACTATCGAGAAATCTACCGATTTAACGGCTACAGAATCTCTTTCGCAACCAAAACATATAGACGATATCGTTGAAGTTGTGACTGTTGAAACTGTTGAAATCGAGAAAGAACCATAATCTATCTTTCATGATTATATAGTGCCATATGGCAAATTTGAAATAATTGTAACAGAAAAAGCTTAGACAAACTTGAGCGAATTTATATGTAGATATCATATTTCGGATTTATTGTTATTAAAATTTAAAAAAAAAACCCTCCAAAAAACTAAAAAAAAAAATATCATGGGCTGAAATCATTTTACTTCATTATCTGTAGTTAGCAAACATATTTCGTTATATTTTATTTATGCTTATGTATTTCGATATTAGATATTGTTCGTGTAAGTGGAGTGTTATTAAAATGTGATATACAATAAGGTTTATTGCTATTTATCAATGACATATTATGATTTGTTTTAAAAAAAAAAATGAATTTGCTTATAGAAGTAAAATGTAAAAAAATGTTAATCCCTATTGTAACACAGATTGATTGACAATTTCGAAAAAGTTGCATTGATATAAAAGTCATCTTTCGTATAAACAATATCTTCCGTTAAAAGTTGTTCTCGCTCATAATGGGAGGATCCCAAAGTTCTGTTAAAGGATATGGTTATCACGTATTAAGGGTAAATGATCTCATTGCTAAAGGTTATTCCAAATTCTCAATCTCAATTTCCAGAAAACTATTAGGTTAAAGAAAATTCACCTGCTCATACGGCTGGAATAGAACCATTTTTTGATTATATAGTTGGAATTAACGGAATACCACTGGTACATTAAAAACGATACCATTTATTCCTTGATTTACATTTTTTTTAACTTACTTTTGACAATCGCCTACATTTCTTTTCATTTTCTTTAGGACACAGAAACTTCTGTGCTTCAAGAACAATTGTTGTCTAATGTCGATAAAGAAGTTATATTACTAATATATTCTACTAAAGAACAAGAGTATAGAGGTTTTTTGTGCTTATTTTATTGTTAATCAATGTTAAATCATTCTAAAAGATATTTAACCAAATAATTCATTTTAGAAGTGTCACTGACTCCAAGTAAAACTTGGACAGATAGTTCAGAAGATGGTTTAATTGGTAATAAAATTTTCCTGAATAATAAAATATTATTATTATACGTTATGATAATTTTTAAGTTATTTAATATTATAATTAATATCATAATTTTATAATAATTTTTATAAATAGGATGTAGCATTCGATATTGTTCTCATGATGTAATATTTTTAACATTTCAATTCGACGCTTATTATTTATCTATTAATGTATATATATGTATATATGTTTCGATTAGAGCATCAATGAACATGTCTGGCATATTTTAGACATTGCTCCTGATAGTCCTGCCGAGATGGCTGGTTTGGTTAGTCTATGATTTATATCTTATTTTATCTTTATTTTATTAATTAAATATTTTTTCTTAATCTAGTCTTAAATTTTACGTAGGTTCCTTCAACTGATTATGTTATTGGAACACCACATAAAGCATTACGTAGCGAAAATGATTTTTATGAATTGATTGAGGCCCATTTAGGAAAACCACTCCGCCTTTACGTCTATAATGCTGATTTTGACGTTTGCCGAGAGGTTTGTAAACTTTAGTATGTGAAATTTATACGCCTTTTGACATAAATTTTACAGTGTTATATTTTTTAAAGGTTATCATTGTTCCTAATCATGAATGGGGTGGAGAAGGATCTTTGGGGTGTGGCGTAGGTTATGGGTATGTATAGTTATTGGGAAATTATAAAATTTCTTAAAATTTACTAACAATAATTCCTTATAATATCAAAGTTATTTACATAGAATTCCAAAAACCGATAAATTCAAGTCTCGTGAACGAAATTTTGAACTATCATGGAACTCTTCACTTCTAGAGTTTAGAACCGGGTTATAGTAAACCGGGTCATCCGTGTCAAAACGGTTGAATATGTAACCTCTAAAAATCTGTTACTATTACGCAGTAACATAACATTTAAAATTTTTTATTA